ATTTGAGTATGCCTTCAAGGTAGGTGGGACCTCAGGTATCCAGAATAGAGACAGAAAGTGGGATGATGGTTGCCAGGGACCGAGGGAGCAGGGGATGAAGAGTTACTGTTTAGTGGGTGCAGAGTTTCAGTTCAGGATGATAAAATATTCTGGAAATGAATATTAGTGATGGTTCTACAACAACATTGAGAATGTACTTAATGCACTGAATTACATACTTAATGGTTAAGATAATAAAGTTTATATTACCTATATTTTCACAAAATACAAAAATATCCTTTTACAAAAGTAAATTTAAAAGACATCCCAGAACCTAAGGAAAATTCTACAAATCAAAGCCATGGGTTTAGTTCTAAGGACCACAGAGGCTGGGAAATGAAGCAGCTGATACTGACTTTTCTTGTCATTTAATAATCTTTGTGTGAACTGTAGACTCAGAAGGCATTTGTATGACCTATCAAGAGGTGAGAAGCCTGGTCCCCGCTTCCAAATGGTTATAAATGGTGCACTCTCCATAGAAGGAATTCAAAAGGCAAGGTGCCTACCTCCTTTTGCAAGAGTGGGGAATGGTGCAGGAGGCAGGAAAAACCTGCCCATAAAAATTCACAGAAAATAGTGTATGTTAAAGGAAAACCAGTCTGGACCAGATCAAAGCTATGGCAGAAATAATGATTGAGTTTCTTTATAGCTATATTTTACTGTTTAAGGTAGGGGATTGTCTAAATTAAAGAGACAAAAATGAATGGATTAAGATGTCCTCAATTTAGAAACTGTCATTAAGGATTTTTTTGTTTCTTTTTTAAACTGAACAATTTCAGAAGCCTTAGAGCTCAGGAAGGGTGCTGATGTAGGACTTCAGGGGCGGTAGAAAGAAACACAATTCAAGGACAGTGATTACGCCTCCAACATTGACAAATGTGATCAAGTTCTATTGAAAGGAAAGGTTTAGTGTTCGGCTAGCACTGATTGTTATTCCTAAAAACAAACTTCAGTCACAGATTCAGCAGCCTGTGGGAAGTAAGTAAGGTGATTGACTTACACATTATCATCTTAAGAGGTAGAAGAAAAATAATGATTAGCAACAGCTTCAACCACAAAGTGCTTCCAGACATGTGACAGTTGGAATGAGACTGCCCGAACTGTTCATCCTCTTCACTTTTTTAATCAATGACAAAACGATGCTTTAGTGGGATTGAATGCTTCATGCAAATTTTCGTTATTTGTGGCCAAATAAAAAATTACTCACAAGATTATGTATAAGCCACAGGGTTTCATCGTAGGGGTACAAAAAGAGCTTGTTAGTCTAAATAATATCATAAAAAAGACAGGGTCAAGAAAATGATGGATTAGACAAGCCATTGTTTCCTCTACAATGGTATGAAGTGCTATGTAAATGTAAAAAAATGTATATAATTGGCCGAGCGCAGTGGCTCACACCTGTAATCCCAGCACTTTTGTAGGCTGAGGTGGATGGATCACCTGAGGTCAGGAGTTCAAGACCAGCCTGGTCAACAAGGCGAAACACCATCTCTGCTAAAAAATACAAAAATTAGCTGGGTGTGGTGGTGAGTGCCTTCAATCCCAGCTACTCAGGAGGCTGCAGCAGAAAGAATTGCTTGAACGTGGGAGGTGGAGGTTGCAGTGAGCTGAGACTGTGCCACTGCACTCCAGCCTGGGTGACAAAGCAAGACTCCATTTCAAAAAAAAAAAAAAAAAATATATATATATATATATATATATATATATATATATATATATGTATGTGTGTGTGTAATATATACATAGTATATATTTCACATATAGGCAAATATATATATAAGCAACAAATATATATATTATATATATATTAGCTGCCTGTATAGCTGGGTGTGTGTGTATACACACACACACACACTCACACATACATATATACACACACACACGTATAGTTATACAGGCAACTATATTATATATTATATATAAAACATATATATAGGTTACATACATATAACATATATAACATATACATTATATAACATATGTATGTTATATATGTGCTATAATATATATGTTATATATAATATATTAGTTGCCTGTAGAGCTGTATCCCTGCACTCAAACAGTAATTGGAATGAAATGAAGGAAGGTTGCTTATGCAGATGACAGAGTGTCAGGGAAGAGCCAACTCAACACAGATTTAGAGTCCTGGAAAACATCAAAGCAGCCACCACATAAATAAGGGACACAATAAATGATAAAGATCTGGCTGCAGAAACTGGAACAAGAGTCCCATTAAATAATGAAAGCATCACAGGAATAAATGGCAGTGAGGAAGCAGAGACCAGACTGGTGAGAGACCTAGAAGCAGACATGCAGGAATGATGAGGGAAACAGACGATGGGCATTGTTACACGTGGGAGATTTGCAACCTCAGTTAGAAGACAGGATGAGGTTGGCAAAAACAGATCTGCTTCCAATTTTTTCTGTGTGTTCGTTATATACAGCTTGGGCTAGCAGAATGTATCATCTCGTTGATAAAGAGCTTTTGGCCTCATCAAATAGCAGGGGCCAAAGAGTCTGAAAAAGAGCTCATTATTTATGGCTAGATAGAAAAAGAGCTAGGTGCGTTCAACACAGAATCACTTTATGGTTGGAAGTCAATACCAGTTGCTACTTTTCCATGGGTCAGCAGGAAGAAGAAAGCTACATCCACAAGAAAGTTTCAAGCGCCGTATGACTGAATGATAGTAGGAAGGGGATTTTTCTCTAAAGAGAACTTTCTCTAACATGGAAAGAAACAATATGAGAAAGGGCAAAGAGCATCAAAGAGGGTAGGATAAAGGCTAAGCACTTTAAAATGAAAAGTAAGGTATAAGGCCGGGCGTGGTGGCTCAAGCCTGTAATCCCAGCACTTTGGGAGGCTGAGGCAGGTGGATCACAAGGTTAGGAGTTCAAGACAAGCCTGGCCAACATGGTGAAACCCCATCTCTACTAAAAATACAAAAAATCAGCTGGGCATGGTGGCGGGTGCTTGTAATCCCAGCTACTTGGGAGACTTAGGCAGGAGAATGGCTTGAACCCAGGAGGTGGAGGTTGCAGTGAGCTGAGATTGTGCCATTGTACTCCAGCCCTGGCAACAGTGCAAGACTCTGTCTCAAAAAAAAAAAAAAAAAAAAAAAAAAAAAAAAGAAAGAAAGAAAAGAAAAGAAAAAAAGAAAGAAAAGTAATTTATAATATTGAGGACAGTTAGTTACAAAAGGGGGACATAAAAAACACAATTAGGGGTCCGGAGGAAAAGAAAGGAGGAATAAAAAATATGTAAAATAATTTTTGCAATAAAGATTTTGACACAGGAAAGTATTGAAGAGTAAAAGTTTACTCAGATGAGGAGCAAAATAAAATCAAGAAGGGTAGAAAGAAAGATGGTGAAAAGACTCTCGTAACGAATTCAGCTAAGGAGAAATGTGCGGTTTCTCCAAGGTGCGGATGAACTACAATAGACCATATAAACTTTTTTTTTTAATCTAGAAAGAAAGGAAAAAGAAAAGACAAAAATGATTCAAGTCTAAAGTCTATACCCTCTTTGATATAAACATGCTTTGAATCATTCTATATAAAGGTAAGGTATTACCATTACAGGATATTTAGTTGGACTTTTTATAATGAAGAACAACTGATCTGGGATTTCAGAGTAAGATCAAGTAGTCTGAAATAAAAATTAGGTTTGACTATAAAGGTATCAGTTGATAGCACTTAATCAAAAACTCTTGTTGCCTCTGAAAAATTGCAGTGAAATGACTATAAAGTTTCCTTGCTTCCTGCAGTTCCCTGGTTGACCAGCTGTTGCAGGACTGAAATAAAGAAATCTGAGCTTAGATAAGGCTTTCTCTGGGAAAACAGGTGGGAGAAGAATGAGACTGCCCAGAGAGAGGCAGATAACCTTTCAGGAGTGGAAGGCCACACACTGCTGCTCCTGATTCTTCAGGTCCGCAGTGAGGGTTGGGGTACTGGAAGCCAGGTACGCATCCTTTCAACAACACCCCCATCTCCTATGTCAAACCTGCCTCCAGCCTTTCATATTTAGTCCCATCCATCCTCCTTCACACCCTGCCCCCACTTTTTTCCTAATGCAAATCCTCTTGGGGAAAGCCTGTGTGACTTTCATCTCTCTAGGTGTCTATATCAGACATTCAGACTGTTCTTCCTAGAGCTGAAGCTGAGAGCAATTGCCCTAGGTGGCCTGCAGGTTTTTTTCCCAAGAATCTGAGGTAGGAAATGGACATTCTCAGGTACACCACATCTGAAGAAAGGGAAGAATCAGTTGTTGAAGATCAGTTGTAACAGGCAGGATGTGGCAGAAGTCACCTGCCTGTGACAACTGAGGGAAGCATGGAGATGGAAGACAGGAGGGGGAAAGACTCATTACTCCTATCTGCAATGAAAGCAGCTCCCCTAGTGGGGCGGAAACGCTCTAGGTTTACTATAAAATTACTTTGGGAGAGACCTAATGGTCAACATACAGACCAGACAATTAATTATACAGAAGCCCTCTTAGGAATAATCAAAGTTAGCACCAAGTTCAAAATCTAGCCTAGTTATGTATCATCCAGGTAGAGCTAATGAAGGACACCAGATCTCATCCTATCTGATCCTTCAAAGGTAATTAAAATATCATACTCAGACTTTTTTTTTTTTTTGAGTCAGAGTCTCACTCTGTTGCCCAGGCTGGAGTATGGTGGCGTGATCTCAGCTCACTGCAACCTCTGCCTCCAGGGTTCAAGTGATTCTCCTGCTTCAGCCTCCTGAGTAGCTGGGACTACAGGTGTGTGCCATCACACCTGGCTAATTTTTGTGTTTTTAGTAGAGATGGGGGTTTCACCATGTTGGCCAGGATGGTCTCGATCTCTTGACCTCATGATCTTCTCGCCTCGGCCTCCCAAAGTGCTGGGATTACAGACACGAGTCACCCTGCCTGGCTCATACCCAGATACTTTAGAGTGAAAAGAACTCAGAACAGCATGTGTGTTCCACATTTAGTGTTGCCTTTTATTTTCACAGTAAAACTAGAAAAGAGTAAGTTGTTGCACATACTGCCATTAAAAGAACACAACCAACAGTTGGAAATTAAACTAAAAAATTTGGGCTATAGCCTGAAACATACTAACATTTTCTAATATCCCACAATGGAACCATATATTAGAAGCAATTTCTATTTTCGGTTTTATTTTCTCCCAGCATAACTAAAATTTATTATTTTATGACTTTGTGTGTGATATTGCACTGCCTCATAATTTCCCCAAATTCATCCTTTTTCAAGCTTTTAAAGGAAGGCCTGCCATTTCAACATTTCATTATGTAATAAACAAATTTATAAATTTCCTATCTATCTTCTTCTTCTGTAAAATTGAATCTCAGTGCAAATCTGCTTGCATGTTGATGAAGATATTTCAAGGGCCACAAATTCTGCAAGAAAATTGATGTTTCATCAGCAGGGCTTGAGGTTTGGGTTTTTAAAATTCCACCCTTCTTCAATGATGACAGGATACAGTAGGAACATAAGTCGGGCCTTTTTTTCCCTATACAAAGGCTTATATTGGAATGAATCGCAGCAACACTTTTCCTGTGTTTGAAAAGCCTATGTTCTTCAGTTCTCTGATTCTATCGAAATTATGCACAAAGTTCTGGGGATTCTAGGATATGAGGCAATGGGAATTTGCTTTCCTTTGCTATTATTCAGCAACTCGAGGCTATCTGTAATCATAGCACATCCATCTGAATTTAGCTGTTTAACAGAAATGGAGACATTTACTTCTCTCTCTAGGCACTTTGGTTTTGTCAGGTGACAAGAAATACAGTGGTGGAAGCAACTAGAAACTGCAAGACTTGAACTTGAAAGAGCATTTAGAAATATTTTATTGGAATGTTATTTTCCACCTGAAGCTGACTGATTCCATTTCTTACAATTGCAATTATCCATTTGTTACAAGCTGCTCCTGTATCTTTATTATAAAAACCCAGTTTGGTTCCCTTTAGCAGTTTTTCCAGCAAAGCACAACAGTAAACATTAATCTGCTTATTGGAAGGAAAGAAAGAAAGAAAAAAAAAGAAAGAAAGAAAGAAAGAAAGAAAGAAAGAAAGAAAGAAAGAAAGAAAGGAAGGAAGGAAGGAAGGAAGGAAGGAAGGGAGGAGGGAAAGAAAGAGAAGGAAGGAAGGGAGAAAGAAAAGAAGAGAGTAGAAAATAATAGACAAGAAGAGAAAAAAGAAACATTTTCAAGAGAAAAACTAGTATGGTGACTGAAAGAATTATCAGTCCAGCATTAATTAGAATCTGGCTTTTAGACCTGAGGCACACACTAGTTGTGACGGATACACTTCTTAAGCCAGGAACTGCAGCATGACTGACATTTTTGTTGAGATCATTTTTGGTTATAGAGACTTTCCTGTGCATATCAGAATGTTTAGCAGCACCCCTGGCCTCTACCCAGGATGCTAGTAGCACTCCTCCACGCTTGAGACAACCAAAAATATCTCCATGCTTTGCCCTGGGGTGCAAAATCACCTTTTGTTGAGAAGTATTGTCTTAAGCCTTAGTGAAACTGAGTGAAACATCTATAAAATGAAACTAATGAGTGCAGAGAGCTGCTGTTGTTGGTATAAGGTAAAATAATGCATTTGAAAGGGCAGTCTGCAATATAAATATAAGGCATTATTATTTTATAAACAGATGAATTTATTCACATATTGAATTTAAGGTATCTTTATGGGGAGCAGGGGACTCAGCACGTCTCAGCTGGCAGAATATGATGAGACTGTTTAGGAGAAATGTATCCCCTTTTCAACTGTAATATCAAGAGTTAAGAATTTACAGACGCATCAATGTTTTAAACTCCTGTATAACAAGTTAACAAAAGGATACAGGAATTTGATCCAAACGACCACTGAGGTTGATTTCAGCTTTGAAGATCCTTCAAAAATAAGAAAATTAGAGTGGGATTAATATTTCTAGAATAATCAACATCCCTTCTCTAGAAGCATATTAATCTCCATTTACTGAAATAAAATTAATTGCCCTAGAAATGACTAAGTTCTCTAGAGAATGGATACACTGTAGATGTGCTCTTGAAAGCAAACTGCTCAAAATGAAGCTGTAGATACTTTCTAGACATTCTTCTTGAAAGACAACACATTACCTCTAAGAAAAGGGAAGGGTATTGGGAGGCATGGCTTTGGAGCAGACAGCTCGAGAATGGACACTCAGATGTTCCAATCAAGATCAAAGCCCACTATTTGGTGTAGCTAAACAGACAGAATAAATGTGAAGGCAAATTTATGCACAGCAGGGATGAGTACCTTAGAGACAGAAATGAATGGATATTCCTGCTAGAGAATACTGACTCTTAATCTTTATACATTTTGCTAGGGCCTATTACTTCTAACACTCTTAGGAAGTCCTAGAATTTTGAAGGATTTCCTGGAGTTTTCTGTATTCATTAATTTTTAAAATAATATGAACAAAAATATCTGTGTTCAAAAAGAGATCTTTTGCATTCAATTTTGTTCTTTTATTATTTCTTTCACATTAAAAAAGTGAAGGTCACAGAATGCAATTGTTTCTTTGTGCAAGCCACTTTTGCATAATGCCAAGCAAACACAAAAGAATCAGTTGTACAAACAACATGAGCTAAGAGAAATGATGATAAGCGTTTAAAATGAGTATCTTGTTGCAGCCAGTGATTCAAGTAGAATAAAAACAGTCTGTGGCATTGAGAAATTGAGGGCATAAACATGAAGGAAATCAACTGAAAAAAGGTGACCCGGATTTTGGGTTTACTTAACTCCTGTAAATGGGATATTAACAGATAAATCAAAAGATTTGGAGAAATGACAAAATATCTAACACTTGAAAGATGTTTTTCTTCATTTTAATCCTATGTTAAGCTTCTCAAGAAATATTTACATCACCTGGTGCAGCATCTATGGTAAATGCACGATTGTACTGCATATTTTAAAACAATTTTAGTTTCTTTTGATTGACAACATTAGAGAAGAACAAGAATATTATTTTAGAGTGTCTGCTCCTTTGAATTTTGACAGTTAAAGAAAACTTCCATGAAATAGAAGACATTTTTCCTTTTGGTTTTAAACTTCTAATAAAATGTCGCTGACAGACTAATTATAAATGTTTTATATATTTCATGCATATGTGTTCCTCTCTAAACCAATTTAATTCCCATTAATGCTAATCTTGTTAATGCCCACTCAGAGAGGAAAGGAATACTCTTAATAAACTATTGATTTATTTGAGTGATTTAAATGGGGGATGGGCAGAAACAGATGAGAGAAGAGGAAAAGCCACTATTTTGCCCACAAATGCATTTTCTAGAATATTTTTCCAAATATTAATGAACATTAGGTTAATAAATGGTATAAATAGGAAGTGGGGGCAGAGTAAAGTGACAAAGTGATAGTCCTCCATCCATGAAAAATAAAAGCATTGTAAATGAATGGCTAATTATTTTAGAGTACTAGCAATTAGAAGTGAGATATTGCAAAAGGCAGGTTTTCTTTCTTTAAAAAGAGGTAAATTTAAAAATGAATGAGATTTATACTTGCAAGCACTAATTGAAGTCTGCTTTTCTTTCTTAAAAAAGTCAGTTAAGTCAACGAATGGGTAAGTTATGTTCCTGGCACATCTTGTGCTACCCCTAGTGTGGCTGGCCACCTTGTCCTCAATGCATGAATCCAGCAATTCCTCTCCAATTAAATCAAGCACCCATCAGTCAAGATTTCCATATCTCAGGGTACTTTAAGAAGTCAAGAAGCAAGATTGGCTCTTAGGAGAGGTTGTGTCCAGGTCTGAGTGGTTTTCTTGAACACAGCTTTGTAATGAGACTTGGGGTAGCCTGGGACTTAGAAAACAAGGGAACACCCTCTCTGTCCATTTTCAGATCATCTGAAAACTAGCTAACCATTTCTAAAGGTACAGATGTTTTCTTTCCCATTTTCCCTGGAAAAAGTGGCCTGAAATCGGGAACAAATGGAAGATGGAATTTTGTCCAGGGCCCACCATTTAGCCTTTAGATACATCATTCCACCTCCCAGAGACTCAGTTTTCCTTTCTGTAAAAAGGGTATAATAATCTCCACTTACTGTGCTCTTATATAACAGAGCAGTATTTTTTTTTTTTAAGCTATCAAAAAGGTGTATTGGAAAGTACTATGAAAACTGTGGAGTACAAACATATAATACTAACTGGGAAATAATTTAAGAAAAAGTGGCACAGGAAAGCGGACAGAAAAATATAAGGTTAGATATCAATTTTATCAGGGTCTTGTATTAAAAGAAGAGAGAGAGAGAGAGATGTTTACCCTCAGGATTTTCCGAAAACTTTTAATGATGACTGTCACTTATACTTTATGGATATATAGGACATAAAATAAAAACTGAAAATTGAAAGCATTTAGACAGTGAAGTTTTCCTTTTGTTGATCCAAATGTTTGGTGTTGGTTATACATTAAGATGGGGTGGGGGTAAGAACAATCTCTTAACATTCATTGAAAAAAAATACTGAAACATATTTTCAGCACAAATATTAAACTGCCTCTTCTTCTCTACCGATTGGTAAAAAAATATATTATATTTTGATTTTTTTTTTTTCTTTTTAAATTATATGGTTATCCATCCCAGCCGAAGTCGTGCCCGGTCATCTGGTAGAACTTGAGGTTGAAAGGCCGGTAGAACTCGCGCAGCCTGCGCACCACCTCGCGGTCAATCTCAGGGTGGGTCCTGCCCTTGGTCTTGCCCAGGCAGTGGGGCCGGCTGCTGCCCTCCGCCTTCTTCAGGCAGGGGAAGCCCTTGGTCTTGTTGAAGTAGAAGTGCTTGTCCGTGATGATCCTCTTGAGGCCCAGGAAGTCCTGCACGCGGCCCAGCTCGCCGGCCGGGTCGCTGATGAGCCGTTCTCCGCTCACAAAGAGCATCTGGCGGATTGGGAAGTGGTGTAGCCAGTGCTCCAGGTGCTTGGCATAGATGCCGATCTGGATGGCGCTCCACGATGTGTCTATAAGGCCCGTCGTTCTGTTTTTGAACGTCAAGTTCTCGAAGGTGGGAATGTCGGGCCGTTTGGACAGCGTCTGCGTGTAGTCCGAGATGGCCCTGGTCACCGGGTCCCGCACCACCACGATGAGCTTGGTGTCCTTGGACATGGCCGAGATGCGTGCAGGCGCCTCCCGCGTGACGAAGTAGCTGGGCGTCTTCTCCATGGTGATCTGCCCATCCAGGGTTCTGGGCATCAGGTCCCTGAGAAAAGCAAAAGGGCATGTCAGAAATGTGCACAGAGAGCTCAGTCCCAGGAAAGGCTGTGATGTACACTCAGGAGCCAGACTGCCATTCCCGCTCCCCTACTTGCTGGGTTTCTGATGGTGAAGTCTCACTAGCAGCCCTGCACCGCAGATTCCTCGTGTATTGAACAGAGAATATTACCCTTCGCAGTTTTGTGATGATTAAATGAGTTAATATACCTCAACAGCTTAGAAAAGCGCCTGGCTCCTAATAAATGCCATGTTACGTTTCTGTGTTTTATTATTGTTTATCTGCAATGCTGTAAGAAAATAACCTTGGTCAAAATCTTCAGGTGAATTAGAATGTTGTCGTAAACACAATTATAGGGCTATGAGATAGTATTAAAATACCCTGAGCCCTTCCTGTGGTTTTCTTACAAACAAAGCAATTATATTCAATATAACATAGCATATTACACAAAATACTTATGTTTGTAATTCCCGAGGTTTCCTGCAACAAACAAGACTTATTAAAGAATCTATCTTTTGCCTAACGATTTGAAATGCCATCATTATCATATGCTAAATATGTTGATTCCTTTCTACATTGGCCCAATTATGCTATTATCACGTGTTAGCATATTTTCATGGACACCAAAGTAAATTCTGACTCTGTTGTTCAAGATGTCCTTGATGATTCTTGTCTCTTTTTCCTCCTGACAAATGAGAAATCACTTTGTCACATTAAAAACAAAAATGCCATTGGAGTCTTGATAGAGCGGATATTGCTTCTCTGTTCAAACAAGCTTTCTACTGAGAAGGATGGGCCTCAGGGCCAGTCAAAACATATGAACAGGAGAAATAAAATCTATTTGTTCTTCCAACTTAAGTATACTGCAATTAAATGTCCTATTTGTTGAGATAGATATAGACAGATGGATAGACACATAGAGACAGATTTTTAGTTATTTCATTTCGTAGTCTTGAGTTCTCTCTTAATGTAGGCATTATCTAGGATTGTATTAAATGTTTAATTCTGATGATAGATTTGTTACTTTTGTTCATGGAATTGGTAATTAGTTTATACTTTGCACCTGCAAGGAAAGGATGCACTTTGTATTATGGGAGCTTGCAATTATTAATTGCCTATGATTTTGTCCCACCAACACTATCTGCTAACTATATCTTTTTGTGAAACATGTTAAACATACACAAAAGCAGAGAAAATTGTCAAATCAATCTCATGTACCTTAAATCCAGCTTCAAAAATTCATAACAACCGATTTTATTTATAAATCCCCTTGTTCCTACTGCCCCATGCCAGTTGGATTATTTTAAAGTCATTCACAAACATCGTATCAGTGGATTAGAAAGTATTCCTGCTCCTATTTGCATTATTTCTGGCACAATTCCTCAATCTCTGGGGCAATCTGATAGCCCTGATACTCCCTTAGTTTTAATGATGCAGGTTCTGGGACTCAGAAAACGATACCCCAAAATGAAGGCCCCCAAAGCAGCCTCGGAAGCAGACGTTTTTCTCTGAACTTCTGCCCTTCTGTCTTTCAGACTCATTCTTACCCAAGACTAGACTTAGAAACTAAAATCCTTCTCCCCCAAGGTGGGTCATAGAAACCACAACTCCTTTTCCCCAAAGCTAAGCATAAAACCTAAAAACATTACTCTAACTTTCCTTCCACCTCTCTGTACAAACACTGGCCATAAAGATATTATCTGGGCTGAGGTGGGCAGATCACCTGAGTTTAAGACCAGCCTAACCAACATGGAGAAACCCCGTCTCTACTAAAAAAATTAAATAAATACAAAATTAGCCAGGCATGGTGGCTCATGCCTGTAGTCCCAGCTACTTGGGAGGCTGAGGCAGGAGAATTGCTTGAACCCAGGAGATGGAGGTTGCTGTGAGCCAAGATTGAGCCACTGCCTGGGCAACAAGAGCAAAACTTTATCTCTAAAAAAAGAAAGAAAAGAAAAGAAAAAAGAAATTATATGACTTATTCTGTTTGACTGCATTTTAAGAGGCCGAGGTGGGCGGATCACGAGGTCAAGAGATCGAGACCATCCTGGCCAACATAGTGAAACCCCGTCTCTACTAAAATATAAAAATTAGCTGGGCATAGTGGCACACGTCTGTACTCCCAGCTACTCAGGAGGCTGAGGCAGGAGAATTGCTTGAACCCAAGAGGTGGAGGTTGCAGTGAGCCTCCTCACTGGACAGAGCCTCCCACAGGACAGAGGGTCCTGTCCCACATCCAGAAGGAAGGAAGGCTCGCTCAGAGAGGCCAAGAAGAATCTAGACAGGCAGGCCTTGCAGGGTTCCCCCACTGAGCCTATTATCGCTATGTCATACCCTTTCTGTCCAATCCTATTTCTATACAACTGTCCTTATTTAGTTAAGCCTAAGCATAAAAATGGAGAATTTCCCCTGTATATCTGCGTCTTCACTCTGAAGGCTCCTGCATACAGAGTAATGTGGATGCCTTTTCTCCTATGAATCTGCCTCTCATCAGTGATTTTTCAGCAAGCCTTCAAGAGTTGAAGGGGAAGTTCTCCCTTAGCTTATACGCAGGTTTCCTCCCATTTTTGTTATTTTTTTTTTTTTTTTGGTCAGTTTTTTTTTTTTTTTTTGTCATTTCAGTCAGGTTATCTGGACTTTTTTTAGACATTAGACATTTGCTTTCTGTTTCTGAGCTGTTTTTTGTTTTTTTTTTGAGGCAGAGTCTTGCTCTGTCACCAGGTGCCAGGCTGGAGTACAGTGGTGCGATCTTGCCTCACTGCAACCTCCACCTCTTGGGTTCAAGCAATTCTCCTGCCTCAGCCTCCTGAGTAGCTGGGAGTACAGACGTGTGCCACCATGCCCAGCTAATTTTTATATTTTAGTAGAGATGGGGTTTCACTATGTTGGCCAGGATGGTCTCGATCTCTTGACCTCATGATCCACCCACCTCGGCCTCTTAAAATGCTGGGATTACAGGCGTGAGCCACCACGCCCAGCCTCTGAGTTTTTTCTAATTGTTAAAATAAATGTGAACTTCATTTTTCAAAATAACTTTTAATATACCTAATTTCCCACCTCTTAGATAGACCTTAAGTTCTGGGGAAGAGTAGGTGAAGACCAGAGAGTTTGTTGTTGACACAAAGTAGATATACACATTACTATAACCACCTATGTGACACAGATTCCACTGTGTGACATGAATGCACAGAACTCATTCCTTTGTGACTCCTTCTATGGAACACAAAGTTGTCTAGACCAGCCTAACATAAAAGCCAAGATGAGCCCGGAGATCTACCCACAAATTGTTGAAATTTCTCAGTGAAGGAAATTTAATCCGATGTGTGGAAAAGTTTTGGGCTTGAAAAGCAATCATCAACTACACTGAAGTAATAAAAAAGATTATCTATTTATTTTATTTATTTATTTTTTTAAAGCCAGCATTGCTGTCTTTTTTTTTTCTTTATATCTTTCACTTTCAACTATGTTATTTCCAATTTTGACCAGTAAAATAGAGATAGCATGATAAATACTTCACTCAGGAGCTTCTGATTGGCCTGTGGGAAAAGGGGGGTTGTGGGTGGGGCTGGGGTGGGGAATTGTTGCCGGAGACTTTCACAGATATTGAGACTATACATTGCGCTGGACCAGAGGAAACACTGCTAAAACCAGTAAAAAAAGAAAACATATTTTAAATAATCTCAATAGATTAGGGAAAAGGGCTATCCAACATAAAAGGAGTTTGAGGAGGAAACAGCTAAAATAGAATTGCAAAAGAAAAACACATTCATTACTGTCATCTGCAGGATCAGGAAAACTGACTGATTTAGTATGGGGTGGGAGTCAGGAGTTGGGCTTAACTAAAAGCTACCTGCAAGCTTCTTTCTGCAAAAAGAAAGAAACGAGAGTCTGAATAAAACCACACCTTGCAAAAAAATGGTTGCTTTGTCACAGGATTCACAACAGAATTCTTTAAATTGCAATCTTTAAATTTTAGTTTGTCAAAAAAATCAATGAAGGGGATAAAACATTTTTCATACATTTTCTTACTGCAAATCTTACTGGATTTTAATGTTCAACAAAGCACCACATTATCACATAAAACAAAAGCCATGTGTATGTTGGTATACTGCATTTCAAAGTGTCTAGAACTTGAGAATTATTCTTCTTTATCTGAGTAAGGTACATATTATGTTGGTGCAAAAGTAATTGTGGCTTCTGCAATTATTGACAAAACTGCAATTACTTTTGCACCAACCTAATACTGTGACTGTGCTTTGTGTAAAAGATGGGGCCTGGGATGGGTAGTGAAAGCTCTATTCCAGTATTACAGGTCTGTAGAAATACAGGGCAGGTTACAGGAGTGCAAAGGTGTGTGCAGTGATTAATCCCATGAGGTTTGTCTGAAGACAGAACCGGTGAGAAGGGATATGAGAAATTCAACGGGACGATGAGAGGCGTAGGTCCTAGGAGAACTTACTTTCCAAGCTAAATCGTGTAGACCATTCCAACCACCCCTTTAAATCATGAACAGGATTTGGAGACATGTATAGTAGGTATGAGGACGAGGAAATGGGTAGAGACCAACACTATAAGGAAAAATTGGAGAAGTGTATTTGTTTTGTCCTGAGAGAAGCAAAGATAAGAAGAAATTTCACAAGCAAATTAAGAATTATATTATAAGGTAGATTATACACAGTTGCTCTTCTCTCCATAGAACTCAAAGAGAATTCACAATAACCAGAAGGTGGAAGCAATCCAAAGGTCTATTGACAGATGAATGGATAAACAAAACGTGGTTTATGCATACAATGGAATACTATTCTGAAATTCTGACACACACTGCAACATGGGTGAACCTTGAGGACATTATGCCAAGTGACATCATCCAGTCGCAAAAAGACAAATACTCTATGAGTCCACTTATGTATCTAGGGTACTCAAATTCATTGAGACAGAAAGTAGAATGGTGGTTTCCAGGGGTTGTGGGCAAGAGGAATAGAGAGTTA